ACAGGGAAGAGTGGTGGAACTGCGGCCGACTACCGGGTCGAAGGAGGGGTCAGCAAGAGAAACTGCAGTAGGAACAGGAATCGGCGTCAGCGTGGTGGAGTCGCGGAACAAACACCGGGAAGCGCCAGAGTTTAAGGTGAAGGAAAGCGCAGCAGTGGCGGCCGTAGTCGAAGCAGCGATGGAAGCACCAAGGCTAAACAAAGCAGGGGATCCTACGCCTGATGCAACAGGGGAGTCTAAGCTAGGCACACCTACAATAGGCAACAGGGGGTAATAAGAAGGAAGCAAACTAGAGTCATCAGCATACATCACATGCAGGGCAGCAACAATGTCATCCATACCCATATCAAAAATCTGAACTCTACGACGAAGCAAGCTGTGCCAGTCTGGGAGCTTGGGCGACGGGCCGAAGCGCTGATGAAACAGGTCGGCCAGGCGACGGAAACAGCGGACGGAGGTGTGACCGATCTTACCGCAAACGAAGCCACGGCGAGGACTGGTCTGGAGCTGGTACTGACAGCGCGCGTCACCCGGACCACCACCCGGCAGCCCACCACGCTCACGACCACCACCGCCAGCGCCACCACCAGCGCCAGGCCACCCGGGTGGGAGACCACTCGCCGGCCTCGGCTGCTGCGGCAGCTGAGGCTGGGGCGAGAACTGCTGCAGCGGCTGGCGCGTGTCCGGCTGCGACACCTGCAGCTGCTGTGATGGCTGCTCGGCTGCACCTGTCAGGGTCCCCTCGTCCGCGTTCCCACCAGGTGACCCAACTCCACCGCCACCTCCACCTGCACCCCCACCCCCTCCGCCGTGCCCAGCCTTGGGGCGGCGACCCTTCCCCGAACGGAATTGTTCTGTAGCGGCGGTCTCAGCCACAGCAGCAGAACCGTCGGAGAAGGTGCACTGAGCAGGGGCTCAACCCTGAAAGATAGGGAACAGCACGGTACCGTTGGTCTGGGCGATAGAGCGGTGGCGGGTCTCTATGGCGGACAGGGTGTCAACAAAGTCAGTGAGGGTGAGGTCACCGGGGTGGACGCTAAGGAAGCGGTCGCGGGCAGTAGCAAGGAGGTCAGGGAGGCGGCTGGCCAGCAGGTAGAGAGCAGAGCAGAGGGGCGGTTGATGAGCGCGAAGCTGTGTGTCAGTGCAGGCAGCGCGCTAGATCTCGTCTATCGTGCGCAGGTGGGCGGCCGGGTCAGCGACAGTGGGGAACGACGCAAGGTCAGGGAAGAGCATGGGGAGGATCAGGCGACCTACCGAGGCAGTGGGCGGGGTGAAATAGCGCTGGACAACAGCATCTAGGAAAGCCTGGGCAGTGGTGACGGACCTAAAGCGAGGGCGCTCAGACAGGGGGAGGGCATGGCTGATAGCAAGCTGTGCAACAGCATCACGCGACAGCCAGACGGAGCGAGCAAGGGCAGCGGCCGCGGCGGACTCACGCTCAGCAGACGAGAGGTCAGCGGGCAGCGCAGCAGGGGGGTCTGGGCAGGGGAGCGTACCGTCAAGGTGGACAGACAGCGAGTGACCATGCTGCCGCTGACGAGTGAGGTCGACTAGCCACGCCTCAAACTCAATCGGCTGGCCCTCAGCGTCAAAGCGAAGCACCTCGCCATCAGGAACGATGCAGGGCGGTGTAGAGAGGTGCGGTGCAGTGCAGTGCGGCGCCGTGCGGTGCAGTGCGGTACAGCACGGTGCAGAGCGATGCAGTGCGGTGCAGAGCGGTGCAGAGCGGTGCAAAGCGGTACAGTGCGGTACAACGCGGTGCAATGCGGTGCAAAGCGGTGCAGGGCGGTACAGTGCTGTGCAAAGCGGTGCAATGCGGTACTGCGCGGTTGCAGGGCGGTGCTGGTCGGGAAGAACGGGCCGGGCACGAGTCGGCGGCGGGCCGGCGACGAAGCAAATGCGGGGCTGGCGGACGGCGGACGCGAGGGGCCGGCAAGGAGCAGGCACGGGGCCGACGAGAGGCTGGCACGAGGGTCCGGTAAGGAGCGGGCGCGACGGGGCCGGCTAGGAGCGGGCAAGGCGGCACGAGGGGCCGGCTAGGAGAGGGCGCGACGGCTCAGGGGAGGGACGGCCAGGACAGGCGCGACGGTGAGAAGGGCGGGGGCTGGCTAGGGGCACGCGCGACGGCGAGCAGGGCCGGCTAGGACGGGCACGACGGTCAGGGACGGCCGCGAGACGGCTAGGAACGACCGCGACGGCGGCTAGGAACGGTCGCGACGGCTAGGAACTGCCGCGACGGCGGCTAGGGACGGCCGCGTCGGCGGCTAGGGACGGTCGCGACAGCTAGGAACGGCCACGACGGCTAGGAACGGCCGCGAGACGGCTAGGGACGGCTGCGAGACGGCTAGGAATGACCGCGATGGCGGCTAGGAACGGTCGCGATGGCGGCTAGGGACGACCGCGACGGCGGCTAGGAATGGTCGCGACGGCGGCTAGGGACGGCCGCGACGGCTAGGAACGGCTGCGAGACGGCTAGGGACAGCCGCGAGATGGTTAGGAACGACCGCGACGGCGGCTAGGAACGGTCGCGACGGCTAGGAACGGCCGCGACGGCGGCTACGGACGGCCGCGACGGCTAGGAACGGCCGCGAGACGGCTAGGGACGGCCGCGAGATGGCTAGGAACGACCGAGATGGCGGCTAGGAACGGTCGCGACGGCGGCTAGGGACGACCGCGACGGCGGCTAGGAATGGTCGCGACGGTGGCTAGGGACGGCCGCGACGGCTAGGAACGGCCGCGAGACGGCTAGGGACAGCAGCGAGATGGTTAGGAACGACCGCGACGGCGGCTAGGAACGGTCGCGACGCCTAGGAACGGCCGCGACGGCGGCTAGGGACGGCCGCGGCGGCTAGGAATGATCGCGAGACGGCTAGGGACGGCCACGACGGCGGCTATGAACAGCCGCGACGGCTAGGAACGGCCGCGAGACGGCTAGGGACAGCCGCGACGGCGGCTAGGGGTGGCCGCGACGGCTAGGAATGGGCGCGACAGCGGCTAGGAACGGCCACGACGGCTGCTAGGAACGGTCGAGACGGCAGCTAGGGACGGACGCGACGGCTGCTAGAGCCTAGGGCGGAAGCGTGGGCAGGCTAGGGGGGGACCTAACCTACTATGATACCATATCAGAAAGAGTAATTGACTAGAATAGAAGGATACAGGGGTATATAGACTAGGGTGCTGGACCCTCTAAGGCACAAACCAGTATAGTTTACAGTAACCACCTAAGTTACATTTGACAATGCCTGCAGAAAACGTTTCCAAAAGAAAGAATACGCGCTGTCTGCAGACTCATACGAAATATTACATGCAGCCTTAAATTTCAGATGAAAATAAAACATTGCTCTTAACGATCAGACCAATTTTTCAGGGTTGTCTAAACTTTCAGATGAACCTAAAAAATCAGGTCTGAAAATCAGATCATCAGACCGATTTAGTCTGATAAAATGGGCCCTGGTGTTAAATATGTAAGCTAGGAGAAGGCCGCCATGGAATGGCGGCCAGAGGTTTAGCTAGGGGAAGAAAACGAGACGAGAGAAAAGGTGAGTTCGATTAGGAAGGAAGAGAGGTACAAGGAGGGGATTGTACCCTCTACAATACGCTTCAGTAACAACTACCAAGCCTATCAATTATATAACTTATATAATTTTAACACACCCCCTAGGCTTGGTAGTCACACACCCCCACACCCCCTAACCTAGCACCCCCATACCCAGCAGTCACAACTACTCCAGCACGGCCGACCCCAACGCCCTGGAGATGGCGACGGCGGCAGACCCGGCAGCGGCGACAGCGACGGGGACGATGAGCGTGCAGCGGCAACAGGCCTGCGGCGACGATCATGGCGACGGCGACGACTTCGGCTTACGATGGCGGGCGTGCAGCAGCCCCCGCCCTTCCGGCGGCATGTCCAGGCTCCTCGGTGACGGGGACGGCCATCACGAGGCAATCGTCGACTTTGGCAAGGAAGGGGGAACGGAAGGGAAGGAAAGGGGGGGGGGGGGGGGAGCGAGGCGTAGTCCAGAATCACGCCGGCGGGTGCAGAGCGGGCGGCAGGTCCGGCGGCACCACTGACGATGCGCGGCCGGCTGTCGCCCGACGACACCGCCACGGCAGCCAAAAGACGCCGCCGCAGCGCGACGTCGATGCCGCGGCGGCGAGGCGGGAGTGCAAAAGTAGCACGACTAGGCCGCCGCGTCATTTCGGAGAGGCTGCCACGGCGGCACGGAAAGGCAAGGCCACCACGGCGGCAGGAAAACTAAAGGCCGCCATCGGCGGCACGGAACGAAGACAGGCGAAAGACAAGTACGCGGCGGAAGCGTGGGGAGCAGGCCCGTAAACGGTCACCTGCTCTGAAACCATGTTAAATATGTAAGCTAGGAGAAGGCCGCCATGGAATGGTGGCCAGAGGTTTAGCTAGGGGAAGAAAACGTGACGAGAGAAAAGGTGAGTTCGATTAGGAAGGAAGAGAGGTACAAGGAGGGGATTGTACCCTCTACAATACGGTTCAGTAACAACTATCAAGCCTATCAATTATATAACTTATATAATTTTAACACCTGGCTGCAACTTGTATTGATTCTTCTGCCCCTTTTTTGGCTGCTAATGGTAGTTGACATTGCATTTTTCATCCTGCTCGTAGTTTTCAACCGAGCGGACCTGGAAATGCACGACAAATTACCGTACTGTTCCTTTTTTTTTCTGCATACAACGAGGAGGGTGTTATGTAAAATGCAACCCCAGAAAAGCGGGTGCTCTAAAAAATGCACCCTATCATAAGCTCTCCCCCGCACAAACCACCCATGGAGTGACTTTTTCGGCGGGTGTTGTATACGGGGGATTACGGTAGTACAAGGGTTCAACTCAAGATTTCCACTGTGCTATCAAGCACTCTGTCCCAAGGACTTAGCCTTCTGAAAAGAGCATAGGGCTATTCTCAGCCCAACATATTCTACAGCAAAAACTTTGCACTAATTGTCAAATATATGTATAACTCATATTTGTATAGACTGTATAGGGTCACCTCTTAGAGGGTACAACACTCTTAGGTATATACACTTGTTCTCTCCCTCTATGCAATCATTCAGTTTTTCTTTGAGATGGTATCACCCGTAGGTTGGTTCCTCTCCACCTACCGCTTCCGCACGTGCCTCCTAGGCCCCGCCACCCCCTCCGTTCCTCCTAGGCCCCGTCGCGCCCCCCTGGGCCCCACCGCGCTGCCTAGGCCCCGTCGCGCCCCCCTGGGCCCCATCGCGCTGCCTAGGCCCCGTCGCGCCCCCCCTGGGCCCCATCGCGCTGCCTAGGCCCCGTCGCGCCCCTCCTGGGCCCCTTCGTGCCCCGTAGGCCTCGTCGCGCCCCCCTGTGCCCCATCGTGCCTCCTAGGCCTCGTCGCGCCCCCCTGGGCTCCATCGCGCCTCCTAGGCCCCGTCGCGTCCCACTGGGCCCCATCGCGCTGCCTGGGCCCCGTCGCGCCCCTCCTGGGCTCCTGTAGCGCTTCCTCGCCCGTCGCGCCCCCCCCTGGGCCCCTGCAGCGCCTTCTAGCCCGTCACGCCCCTCCTCGGCCCCTCGTGCCTCCTCGACCCCGTCGCACCTGCCTGGCCCCGTTGTGCCTGCCTGGCCCCGTCGAGCCTGCCTGGCCCTCGCCGCGCTGCCTGGCCCCGCCGCGCCTGCCTGGCCCCGTCGCGCCTGCCTGGCCCTACCGTGTCTCCTGGCCCCGTCGCACCTGCCTGGCACTGCCGCACCTGCCAAGCCCTGCCGCGCCTGCCTGGCCCCGCCGCACCTGCTTGGCCCCGCCGCGCCTTCTGGCCCCGCCGCGCCTGCCTGGCCCTGCCGCGCCTCCTGGCCCCGACGCCCCTGACTGGCCCGCCGCGCCTGCCTGGCCCTGCCGCGCCTTCTGGCCCCGCCGCGCCTTCTGGCCCCGCCGCGCCTGCCTGGCCCTGCCGCACTGCCTGGCCCCGCCGCGTCTTCTGGCCCCGCCGCGCCAGCCTGGCCCCGCCGCACTGCCTGGCCCCGCCGCGCCTGCCTGGCCCTGCCGCGCCTCCTGGCCCCGCCGCCCCTGGCTGGCCCGCCGCGCCTGCCTGGCCCAACCGCGCCTCCCTGGCCCCACCGCACCTGCCTGGCCCCGCCGCGCCTTCTGGCCCCGCCGTGCCTCCTGGCCCCGCCGCCCCTGACTGGCCAGCCGCGCCTGCCTAGCCCTGCCGTGCCTGCCTGGCCTTGCCGTGCCTGCCTGGCCCCACCGTCCCTGCCTGCCACTTTCGCCCCGGCTCGTCCTGCTGTGCCGCCTCGGGCTCCGTCTCCTCCGCTCGCCCGTGCTGAGGCGCTTCGTGGCCACTGTGCTGGAGGGGGCTGTAGCTGAGTTCCTGTGGAGCTATGCCGCTGACCCTGCACGATGGCGGACTTCGTGCTCCGACTGGACGCTGAGGGCCATGCGGTTGACTTCGCCGCCTGGCTCTCCGATCTCCGCCGCCACCTCACAGGTCAGCGTCAGGATGGCCACTCTTTGGTTGTCCATGTTGACTGCTTGCTCCCCCGCCCCCCTGTACCTGCCCCCCTCCCTGCTGATCCCTCCTCTGATGATCGTGAGACCTTCTCTACTACTGCGCTTGCCCGTGCGGTCTGGGCCTCCCGCGATGCAGTCGCTCAGGTAGCCATTAGCCATGCCCTTCCTGTCTCTGAGCGCTCGCGTTTTGCTACTATTGAGACGGCCAAAGCTTACTTAGACGCTGTTATTGCCCGCTATTCCACACCCGCGTCTGCTTCTGCTGGTCGCCTGCTCTTCCCTATGCTTTTCCCAGACCTTGCAGCTTTCCCTACCGTCGCAGACTTTGCCACTCACCTGCGTGCTCTAGAGACCCGCTATCGCACTGCCAGCACTGCTGCCCAGCTCACTGCGCTCCCCCCCCCTTTCTGCATGACGCTCTATTTTATCGCCATGCGCCTGCCAGACCGCCTCGCTAGTGCTCGCGATCACTTCCTTAGCCTGCACCCGGCTGACCTCACTCTCACTGCCTTTGTCGACACCCTCACCGAGATCGAGACTCACCAGCGCACTATCGCTCAGTCGAGCGGTGCGCCGGCAGTCTCTATCTTTCACTGCTGTGCCCCCTCCCAGTGCACGTTCACTGACGTTTCGGCTGCGGTCGCCACGGCGACCCCTCTCACCGAGACGGCTGATGCGGTCCACCCGCAGCAGCGCTCGCGCCGCAGTGGCCGTGGTCGCCAGGGTGATAGGGGTGGTGGTGCAGGTAGTGGTGCTGGTGGTCGTGAGAGTAGTCCGTCTGGGGGGACTAGCATTGGTGGTAAGGAGCAGCAGCCCCAGCCGCAGCACGAGCAGCCCGCGCCGCAGCCGCCGTCCCAGCAGCAGCCGCCGTCCCAGCCGCAGCCCCCGCAGCAGTGGGCTCGCCTCCCGCCTGTTTGGCCCCGCTCCTCAGGGGGTGGTGGCAGTGGTGGCGGCCCGCGCAGCTTGGCGTCTACCAGCGGCTCCGGTGCTGTCACCTGTCAGTACCAGCTTCAGACCGGGCCCCTTCGCGGCACTCTGTGCCGCCACCCGCACCCGACTGCCCGCTGTTTCCGCCGCCTCGACGATCTGTTTCGTCGTCGCTTTGGCCCGGCCCCGGACCTCCCCGACTGGCACAGCCTGCTCCGCCAGGGCGTGCCGATCTTTGAGTTAGACATGGATTAGATAGGTGCTGCTTTGCATGCCATGTATTCTGACGCTGCTAGTGTTGCTGGATCTTATTATCCTGTGTTCTCTAGTTTAGGTGTTGCACCGTTGTGTAGCCTAGCCTCCCCTGCTGCGTCAGGCGTAGGACTGCCTAGTTTGTCTAGCCTCGTCTCTGCACCGGCTCCGTTCCCCGCCCCTGCCACTACTGCGCTGTCCTTCACTCTCGACTCCGGTGCTTCTGCCTGCTTCTTCCGCGACCGTTCCGCACTCACGCCGCTTGCTACGCCAGCTGTCGTCTCTCTCGCCGACCCCTCTGCGGATCCTGTCGTCGCTCGCAGTTCTACGTCCCTTCCCTGTCCAGCCGTTCCCTCGGGCTCCCTTACAGGCCTCCACGTTCCCTCATTCTCGAGGAACCTGGTTGGTGTCGGCTGTCTCCAGGACCTCGGCGTCACCACCACGTTCCCCGGGCACGAGCGGTTCGCTGTCTGTTCTGAGGCTGTCTCTGGTTCCCCCCTTGCGACGTTCCCCAGGGACTCGGTGTCCGGTCTGTTTACCCTAGACACCGCCTCCCCTCCGGTTGGTGCGTCCTCCCAGGTTGCTGCAGCTTGCTCGTGTCGTTCCCTCACTCACCCGTCCCTTCACTGGCACCACCACTTAGGTCACCCTGCTCTCCCTCGTCTGCGTCACATGTCCCAGCACGGCCTTGTCTTAGGTCTCCCTGTGTTGCTCCCCGCCCTTCCTCCCTCGACTGCGCCACCGTGCACGCCTTGCGTCGAGGGCCGGCTCCCCCGTGCCCCTCACTCCTCCTCGTTGCGCCCTGCTACTGCCCCCCTTCAGACCCTGCACCTGAACGTTTGGGGCCCTGCCCCCGTCCCCGGACTGCGCGGTGAGCGCTACTTCCTTGTGCTCGTCGACGACTACACGCGCTACACCACGGTGTTTCCCCTCGAGCGGAAGGCCGACGTGCCCGACGTTCTTCTCCCGTGAGTTGTGGCTGCGCGTCTCCACCACGGTCTCCCCGTGTTTTTGTCTCCACTCCGACCTGGGCGGCGAGTTCGCCTCTGGTCGGCTTGGACAGTTCTGTCGTGCGGAGGGCATCACCCAGTCGTACACCTTGCCGGACTCGCCATAGCAGAATGGGGATACTGAGCGCCGCATCGGCTTGGTCATGGAGGTCGCCCGCACCTCCATGATTCATGCCGATGCCCCCCATTTTTTGTGGCCGTTCGCTGTTCGCTACGCTGCTCACCAGCTTAACCTGTGGCCACGCTCTCAGCGGCCGCAGGTTTCGCCGACCCTTCTTTGGACCGGGTCCCCCGGTGACGCGTCTGCGTTCCATGTCTGGGGCTGCCTTGCTCACGTTCGTGCCTCTGGCACGGACAAGCTCACTGCCTGCACTGTCCCCTGTGTCTTCCTCGGTTTCCCCCTGGACTCGTCTGACTGGCTTTTCTATCACCCGCCGTCTCACCGCTTCCTCCACTCTCGTGACGTTACCTTTGACGAGTCCGTCTCCTTTTACCGCCGCTTCCCTTACCGAGGTCTCCCAGTTGCCCCCCCCCTGTTCCTTGCTCCCTCTCCCCCGGTAGCCCCTGCCCCTCTCCCGCCTCGTCCTGCCCCGTCTGGTGTCTCTCACGTCACTCCCCTCCCGTCGGTTGTCCCCGTTGAGGAGTCTGCTGACTCTGGTGGTACCCCCGGTCTGTCCTTCCCGCGTCCCCCTTCCCCGGTGCCTCCGCCCCCACTGTCGCAGTCGCCGACCCCGCTGCAGCCACCGTCGCCGTCGCCGCCGCAGCTGTCGCCGCTGCAGTCGTCGCCGCCACTGCCGCCGCCGCTCTTGGCCCCTGTGGGTGCTGGTGTGGAGGAGGGTGTTCGTCCTGTGGCTTCTGGGGGTGTTGCTGGTGTTGGAGGGGGTTCTCGCTCTGGGGGTGTTGGTTCTGGGTGTGCTGCTGGTGAGTGTTCTGCCGACGGTCGTTCTGCCTCTGCTGGTCCAAGAGTTCCGGCCCAGCCGTTGTCGCCGCCGCAGCAGCCGTCGCCGCCGGTCTCCGCTCTCCGCCTGCTCGGCCTTCCCTCCCCGGACCGCGCGCCGGTGTCTCCCCCACCGCCCGCTGACCTTCCTGTCTACGGTCCTGTTTTCCCGCCGCCGGACTCGTCTCCGGCCCGTCTTCCTCCTCGTTCCCCTCCTGTGTCTCCTCCGCTGTCCCCTGACCCTACCCCTCCGTCTCACGTTTGGGCTCGTCGTCTCTCCCGTGCTCGTCCCGTCTCTCTTGTGCTGCCCACCCACCCTATGTTGCTCCGTTCCCGCTCGTCTCGTCCTCCTCTCCTCCCGTCCCCTCCTCCCTCGTCCCTTGCTGTTGCACCTCCTCCGTTCTCTGACTACCTCCGTGCTGCTCGTCCCCTTGTCCCTCGGGTCCTTGCCTCTCTTGTTACCGACCCTGCTGTTCCTGTCTCGCGCCTTGACGCGCTTGTCGCTGCTATCGCTGACTTCACCTCTACCTGCCACCTTGACTACGCTACCGCTCTGGTCTCTGACCCTGCCCATCCTCCGTCCGTCGGGGGTGCTCCTGCCCTTGGCAGTGACGTCCAAGAGGACAGGCAGTACGAGCTGGCTTTCCTGTCCGAGGCTGCTCCCCATATCTGCTCCATGCTTTTAGTCCCTGAGGGTGACCCAGACGCCTTCGACATCCCGACCCCTCGCACCTACGCTGAGGCCACCTCGGGACCTTGGGCCTCTCAGTGGATAGCTGCCATGGAGCAGGAGATGGCATCTTGGAGGTCCACCGGCACTTACGTCGACGCAGTTCCCCTGCCTGGGGTGAACGTAGTCGATGGTCGGTGGCTCTTCAAGGTGAAGCGCCCCCCTGGAGAGCCGCCTGTCTTCAAGGCGCGCTACGTGGCCAGAGGTTTCAGTCAGCGCGAAGGGGGTTGACTTTTTCCAGACCTTCGCCCCGACCCCGAAGATGACCATTCTTCGGGCGCTGCTACACGTAGCAGCTCAGCGTGACTACGAGCTTCACTCCCTCGACTTCTCTACTGCCTTTCTTCAAGGCAGCCTACACGAGCAGGTCTACCTGCGCCGACCACAGGGCGTCACTGGTACCTTCCCTCCTAGGACCCAGTGGCTTCTCAGGCGCCCGGTCTACGGCCTGCGTCAGGCTCCCCGCGAGTGGCACGACACGCTACGTGCCACGTTAGCAGACCTGCAGTTCTTTCCGTCCTCTGCTGACCCTTCACTGTTTGTGCGTTCCGGCCAGACTCCGTTCTACATCCTTGTCTACGTAGACGACCTGGTCTTCGCTACTCCTGACAGGGACCAGGGCTTATTTTTGACGAGTAATTACCCGGATTTTGGAAAAATAACGGGTGGTTTTTTTCTCACACTCGGAATCTGACGTGTTCAGATTTTATAAACCCTGATTCTGAAGGGTGTCTTTTGGCTTGTACCCGTGAATTGACGTGTAAGGTTTGCCAGGTACACTTATTTGACGGGTACGATTTTCGAAAACCCGAATTCTAGCGCTGGTGGAAACCCCCCCCCCCCCTCCCCCCTCAAATCCACCACCCCCTCCCACCTCTCCCCCTCTGAGGGAGAGGGGGAGTTGCTGTCGCGGCTCAAGAACAAGCCTCCAGATGAGTTATGTCAAGTACAAGTGCTGGTTCTCAACCTTAGGCATTACAGATTGAAATTTGTTCATGCTCGCTCTCAGCTGTGTCTAATTCCGCCAAGTCTTTTAGCTTGAGCAGGTGTCTCCGAATCTGTAGCAAGATGCCCATGTTCACCAACACTTTGAGCACATGCTGAAAGGTAGGTGTCATAGCAAGTAGATGAGGTCGGTGTGTTAGTGCGTTCTGTTTTCTGTCAATCAAGGCCTATTCACATAAAACCATGCATTTAGACATTACGAAATCAATACCCGGAATATGACGTGTATGTTTTTTAAATACCCGTATTCTACCGGGTGACTCTTAACAAATACCCGTGCTGTCCGGGTCGCGAGGGAGCAGAACCCGGATCTGACGTGTAGGCAAAACCCCTAACGTAAGCCCTGACAGGGACGCACTGGCCTCTGTGAAGACTGAGCTGCTGAAGAGACACACCTGCACTGATCTTGGAGAGCTGCGTCGCTATCTTGGCCTGCAGATCTCCAGGGACAGAGCAGCACGCACCATCACTCTGACCCAGTCACACTTGGTGCGTCAGGTCCTTCAGAGGTTCGGTCTTCAGTTCTCCTCTCCACAGCCCACACCTCTACCTGTAGACCACGGGCTTTCCGCTCCTGTTCCTGAGGAGTCAGTAGAGCCCAGCGGCCCCTACGCAGAGCTGGTGGGTTGCCTCATGTACCTGATGACCTGCACTCGCTCAGATCTCGCATACCCTCTCAGCATCCTGACTCGCTTTGTGGCCACTGGCAGACACCGACCACAGCACTGGTCGGCAGCCAAGAGGGTTTTGCGATATCTAGCAAGTACATCAGGCATGGGGTTAGTGTTAGGAGGACGCAGGCCAGTGGTCCTCACTGGGCACACAGACGCTTCTTGGGCAGACGACTCTGAGACGCTCAGGTCGTCGCAGGGCTACTGTTTTAGCCTTGGTTCGGGTGCTATCTCTTGGAGATCCACTCGCTCGTCGTCTGTTGCTCAGTCGAGCTGTGAGGCTGAGATCTACGCTGGTGCCATGGCGGCACAGGAGCTCCGCTGGCTGACTTTCTTGCTCACAGACTTAGGTGAGCGGCCTAGCTTTGCCCCGGTCCTGTATGCTGACAACCGGGCCATGATACTCCTGTGTCAGGAGCCTCGACTTGAGGGCAGAGCGAAGCACATTCAGCTGCGGTACTTCCTCCTGCGCGAGCTACAGCAGCGTCGCTAGGCCCGCGTAGTTCACTTGGCCTCTGGTGCCAACACAGCTGATATCTTTACGAAGGCGCTTGCGCCTAAAGATCATCAGCGGCACTGTGTACAGCTCGGTCTAGTTCCTGTAGCCTCTCACTTGCTAGGACCTTGACTTTGTACTGTCCTATATACATCTGTCTATATGTACTCAGACTGGACTTGTGTCCTTTCCCAGTGGCCAGACTAGTAGTGCCGCCCTGGTCTTGTTCTTGTCTTGCCTGTACTCCTTTTGACTGGTCTTTAGACCCTTGTCTCAGTGGCTGGACTAGCCCTGAGCTGCTTGTTCAGGATTTGCCCCTATGCAGTGTAAGGGGTGCGTCAAATATATGTATAACTCATATTTGTATAGACTGTATAGGGTCACCTCTTAGAGGGTACAACACTCTTAGGTATATACACTTGTTCTCTCCCTCTATGCAATCATTCAGTTTTTCTTTGAGACTAATGATTGTCAGTACCGTACATCCCACAAATACCACACGCCATTCAGCATGAGGGTGAGACGCCCTGACTGCTGGTCACCCTTAAGCGTGAATCCAAGCCACACATAGCCCCTGATGTCAGTGCCTTCGCCTCTAGTGCTCCCTCTTCTCACCATGTCGTCGCTTGCTCTTGTGCCGCCTCTCACTTTTGTCACGCCCAGAGTAGTCACCCTCACTGCTGCTCCCATTGCTCTCGCTGCTGAGATGGCTTTTCATGTGTCGCTTGCTCCGTGCTGCTTTCTTCCCGTGCCGCTTCTTCCTCCTCCTCCTCTCCGCATCAACTGACTCTTCACTCTCGTCGCTTGCACTGTCTTTCCTCCTCCTTCGCCTCCGTCGCTTCCTCTCCCAATCACTCGCATGTGACCATTTCTTCCTTCTCTTCTTCTCCCCATCCTCCTTCCGCCTCCTCCTCTCTTCCCTTCCCTTAGACAAAGAGCTCTCTGAATCCGAACCAGACGATGATGATGATGTCAGCACGCGCTTCTTCCTCTTCACAGCACCTCCTCCTTCCCCCACTGCAGCAGGTGCACAAATCCCAATAAAACCATCCCCTGTGCCACCCCATGCGTCATCCACACGGCCTGCACTGCCTCCTTGCTGTGTCTCTCTCTCCTCCTCCCCCCCTCGCCCTTCACTCCACCCGCTCCGACCAGCCGCCTCTCCACCGCCTTCCCTCCCACCTTCCTCCCCCCCTGCAGCCGCCACATCCTCTGCACTCCCTGCTGTGCCAGCACCACCATTCCCGCCCTCCGGCTCACCACCCGCTGCCTCCTTCCCCGCCCTCCCCGTCCCCACCTTACTCTCCTTCTTCTCGCCCTTGCCACCCTCCATCCCCCCTCTACTAACCGCTCCCCCTCCCCCTCGTCCGCCCTCCCCCCCTCCCCCCCGTCTCACCTCCCCCAGGTCCACCTGCAGCCCCAGCTCCTCGCCCAGCCCCTCCAGGAAGTCGCCCGCCTCCAGCCGGGCCAGCGCCCGCGTGGCAGCTTCTGCAGCCGCCACGTCATCAATGCCAGCCGGTGCTGCTGACGTGGCATGGGGATCGTCATCTTCATCTTCCTTATCTGAAAAGATGGCCTGCCGCATTGGGGAGCGCGGAGAGGGAGGTCGGGGAGGGGGGAGAGGGGCGTTGCGGAATGTGGAAAGAGGGAGAGGTGGTCGCATGGAGCAGAATGATGTGAGGCACTCACAGCCGCCTGGGTGGACCAGAGAACAGAAACCAACGAAAAGAACCAGGGGTTGGCAAAATGGCGGCGAGGCACCTTGAAGAGATCCATGGGCCGGTTCTCAATGGCCTCCGCCACCTCCCGCCCCTCCTCCTCCTCCTCCTCCCCTTCCTCCTCCTTCCTCTCCCCCCCGACTTCTCCAATGTTTCTATCCTCCTCCCACTCAACTCCCCCGTAACGCCCAGCAGTAGCAGCGGTCACAGCAGCAGAGGGGGGGGCAGGGAGGGAGAGGAGCGGCAAGGAGGAGGGAGGGGTGGGGGTGGGAGCAGCTGAGGGGCGGGTCTGAGGGAAGGAGGTGAGCGTGTCGAGCTGCGACGGGCGATGGAGGGGGGGAGGAGGGGCCTGCGGTGGAAAGAAGAGCGGAATGGGGAAGGAACGGAGAGTGAAAGGGGGCACCAGAATAGGACTAAACAACATCCCAATCGGTCTACTTTGAAGACGTCAGGCCGCAAAAAAGGAAGCAGTGGGGAGCGAAGCAGTCGGGAGCGAAGAACTGTGGGCAGAGCAGGCTGAGTAATTTCGGTGGTTGGAAACAAGGCGACTTGCGGGCATAGCATTGAAGAATGAAAGAGATGAAGAAAGGGGGTGGGTGCGAAAAATGGGAAGCGAACAAGGAAGGCAGGGAAAGAGTGCAGCAGAGGCTTTGTTGGAAAAGGTCAAGTACGGAAGTGACAAAGGCTCACCGTCTGCCTCTGCCTTGCTACTGTTTCGCCCACCTCTCCAAGATGTGACTTTTGGGTCGGCTCAGAAGCCACCCTCGTTGAATCACCCACCTTCCCTGCAAACGGGTCCGGCAGGTTGAATCGTTTGCATAGCAGAGGCAGCGGCCGCCACGCCTCCTCCCGCCGCCGAGCCACCACCGGTGCCACCCCTGCTGCTGCCGCATTCCCTGCTGCGCCTGCCCCTGCCAGCGCTGCTTCTGCCCCTGCCGCAGCAGCAGCACCCACCGCCGCCCTCTCAGTGGCCATGCCGCGCTTGGCCTTCCCATCCTCGTGCCCGCTGCTGTGGAAGCGCGACGCCATCATTGCCGCCAGCTCAGCCACCGCCCCGTGCTGCTGGAAGGGCGAAACGGCAGGGGCGGGGGGAGGAAGAAAGGAAGGTGCAGGGGCGGAGGCAGGGGCAGACGCAGGCACTGCTGGTGGTGCCGATGCAAGGGGGGGCTTCAAGGCAGGCAGCGGGTGCTCGCCCAGCATCATGCCGCGGGCGTCAGGGCCCAGCCGCACCGCACCATTCCCACTCCCACAAGCCTTCCCCGCTGCCACGCCCGCTGCTGCCCCGCCCTCTCTCGCCCTCTGCCTCTCCCTCAGCTCCCACACGCGCTGCTCATAGTACGCGCTGCCCGCCCCGCCCACCAGGAACGACAGCTGCTGGGCTGCACCGCCCTCTCCTCCCTTCTCCCCCTCGCCCCTCCCCCCCCTGGCGCGCGCGCGCATGACCCCCTCCACGTGCGCCCCGCAGCGCGCCACCATGGCTGCCACGCCCTCTACGGCTGCACGCAGAGAAGGGTCCTCCGGGGGGGCTGCTGGGGGCGGTGCTGGCGTGGTGGAAGCAGGTGCGGTGGAGAGGGGCGAGGGGGAGGAGGGGAAGGTGTGGTGTGGTGTGAAGGAGGCGGGCACGTGGGGGGGAGTGTACCTGCAGGCAGGGTGAAGAAGCAAAATGGAGAGGAGACTAAAATGAACTGGTGTTTAGCTTAGGTGAGCCCACGAGCGTCCAGAGGAATGAGATGAGGGGCCAACCTAGTTGGGGCATAGTTGGACCAACTCAACCATTAGGTTTCCCAACCCAAATTGTGGGTGGGGAGGCAATCATTCCTGGGTTGGCCACCACTTCTGGCCCACAAGAACGGTGGTCGAGGCATGGCGCCTCCAACCACACCTGGGTTTGCGACCAAATCGACAGCAAATGTTAGGAGGTGAAAGGCGAGGTTTGGTGAGCAGCGTGCACAGGAACACATGGCGTGGGAAGGGCATGCAGCAGAAACAGCGGAAGCAAGAAGGCGGGCACATGCAGTAGGGGGCAAGCAGGGAGTACCATTTGCACTCCTCCACGGCCAGGCGCCCCTCGCAGAAGCCCCGCAGCATGTGCCCGCTGCTCCCCCGCGCCTGATCCAGGGCCTCCAGGCCGCCCATCCACGGCGCGCCCTGCTGCTCCCCGCGCCGCCCCTGCCTGCCCTCTGCCTCTGCCCCGCCCCCTCCTCGAAATCGCACACCCGCTTCCTCCTCGTCCTCGTCGTGCACCTCGTGCAGGTCGCCCGCGGGGATCTCTGAGGCGACCAGGGGAGAGCATCGTTGGTGCGGGCGAGAAATGAGGCGAGAGATGAACAGCATGCACTGCAACACAGCAAGGCAGGCGCGGAGCTACAAACATCCAAAGTTTCAAGTGCAGCAGCCCAGCGACCTGGTACTTGACCAGTGAAATCCGTGCATGCGGTGCCAAGCATTGACTAGCCAAGTCCAAGGTATGCTGTTGTCTCTTCCACTCGTCAGCAACACGAAGCAAAAGCTATCAATATAACCCCTTCTCACCCGCGTCGTAGATGTCCTCGTCCTCCGCCCCACCCTCCTCCAGAGCCCCAATCCCAAACCCCCCCGCCAGCCGCCCACTGCCCGCCCCAAACAGCGACTGCCGCCCTCCTCCCCCTCTCCCCCCCCCACCTGCCGCCCTTCCCCCAGAACGTTCCCCTCCCCTTCTCGCACCTCCTGCTGCCCTTTGCCTGTGCTCTGGTGTCATTTCCAGCAAGGGACAAGGCGAGGAAAGATATAACGGCAGAGCGAGATGCAGAGACAGGGGGAAGGAGGGATGAAGAGTTAGAGAGGGCGCGGTCAGTAATTGGAAGCAGCATTTGCAAACACACCTGCAAGGCAGTGATTGGAAGCTGCTGCATGAGCCCCACACATCAGCCCATGCTCCCTCTCCTCTCCCTCCCACCCCACCCGTCCCACCTTCCCCTCCTTCCCCCCACACCCCCCCAACCCCCCCTTTCACAACCCCCCACCCCCCTTTCACACCCCCCACCCCCCCTTTCACACCCACCCACCCCCCCTTTCACACCCCCCACCCCCCTTTCACACCCCCCCCCCCCTTTCACACCCCCCCCTCCCTTTCACACCCCCCCACCCCCCTTTCACACCCCCCACCCCCCCTTTCACACCCCCCACCCCCCTTTCACACCCCCCCACCCCCTTTCACACCCCCCACCCCCCTTTCACACCCCCACCCCCCCTTTCACACCCCCCCACCCCCCTTTCACACCCCCCCACCCCCCTTTCACACCCCCCCACCCCCCTTTCACACCCCCCCACCCCCCTTTCACACCCCCCCACCCCCCTTTCACACCCCCCACCCCCCTTTCACACCCCCCACCCCCCCTTCACACCCCCCCACCCCCCTTCACACCCCCCACCCCCCCTTTCACACCCCCCACCCCCCCTTCACACCCCCCCCCCCCCCCTTTCACACCCCCCCACCCCCCCTTTCACACCCCCCCACCCCCCTTCACACCCCCCACCCCCCCTTCACACCCCCCACCCCCCCTTTCACACCCCCCCACCCCCCCTTCACACCCCCCCACCCCCCCTTCACACGCCACCCCTCCTAACACCCTCTCTTGTTCGCTTGCAAGCACAATCCTCTTCCTCACCCTCATGACCCCCCTGCCTGCCGCACCTCGCACGTCGTGAGCGCCCTTGAAGGCGTCAAACCCCACGCCCTGTGTGTCCCTCTTGGGCGCCCTCAGGTGTTCCAACACCGCTGCTTCTGCCGCTGCTGCTGACCGTAACGCCCACTCCCCCTTCCCACCCCTTGCCCCCCTCCCCATCCCCACTGCTGCACTCACTGCTGCCGGCCCTCCCACTCCCCCCCTTCTCTTCCCAGCCATCCCTCCTCTTTCCTCCCTCGCCTCCTCGTCCTCCCCCTCCTCCCCCTCATCCCCGTCATCCCCCCCCTCCCCCTCCTCCCCCCGCCCTCGCCCACCCCCTGCCAGCGCCAGCATCGCCCATCTTCCCTCGCGCTGCACCTTCCTGGAAGCTGCCACCTCGTCAGGCCCCACGCCCCTGCCCTCTCTCCAACCCATCCGCCGCAGCAGCGCCTTGCCTGGGGGGGGGGGGGGGGGGGGGAGGGTGGGAGAGGGGGGAAGAGGGGAGAGAATGGGGGAGGGGGGAAGAGGGGGAAGCGGGGGGGGTTTGGTGTGTATGTGAGATGGAGAGCGGTTGGGACATGCAGGCAAGGTGCAAAAAAATGGCGTTTTTTACCTTTTTTTCACCGTTAAAACGGAATCGTATAAAGCGGCCGTTCAATACGATTAAAACGGTCAAAAGTGGTGTTTTCTGACTGGTGCAAAAAAATGGCCGTTTTGTACGGTCGTTTTTTTTATACCGCCGTAAGAAACGGAAGTTCCCTTTATATCGAGGAGCATGAGGAGGGTGAGGAGGGTGACGAGGAGGGCGACTGGAGGACTAGGGTGAGGAGGAGGACTAGGGTGAGGAGGAGGAGGACTAGGGTGAGGAGGAGGACTAGGGTGAGGGGGAGGACTAGGGTGAGGAGGAGGAGGACAATTAGGAGGAGGAGCAGAGCCGGAGTAGAGTAGGAGGACTAGGAGGAGGAGGGTGAAGGAAGGGAGAGAAGGACAATGAAAGGAGGTCTAGGAGGACGAGGATGGTATTTTAGATGCACATCGGCTGTCACCGTCACCAGGCCCTCTGTTTCGCAGCGATTTTTTTTAGTTTAGGGTAAAAAAAAAAAAAAAAAAAACAACCGGGGAATTTGCATAAATCTGCCGTATAAAACGACCGTAAAAACCGGCCCGTTTAATACGGAAACCATTTTTTTGCACCTTGCATGCAGGGAGGTTAGAGAAGTAAAGAGCACATCATGCATGGATGGGGGGCGAGGGAGGGAGGAAAGGAGGGTGGAGCAGAGGGGCGGACCGGCAAAACAGGGACCACTCATAGCGGTGCCACGTCACAAGAGCCCACCACTCACCATTCCCCATACCCCATGCCCTCCATACCCCTCCCTGCACTGCTGGCAGCAGCCCTGCCAAGCCACCGCGAGAGTGAACCCGTAACGGACTGCCGCAGCCACCCTCCTACCCCACTTCCCCCACCCCACCTCTGCCCCCCCCTCTCTCCCCCCCCCTCTCTTCCCCCCATCTCTCCCCCGTCTCTCCCCCCCCCCTCCCCCCCCCCTCTCACCGACGGAGTCCGCCACGGGGGCCATCAGCTCCTCCAACATGCCCCCAGGGATCACGGCCGGGCGGCGGCCACCGTCCGCTAGTGCGTGTGTGCGCGCCAGCTCAGCGGCGGTGAAGCCGAAGGTGTCGAAGGCGCTGTGCACCGCCACGGCCGCGCGCTCCGCATCGTCGCGCTCGTCCGCGTCCATCAGCTCCGCCACCCGCTGCTCGTGCCGCTCCGCGCGGTTGGAGCGCGACGACCGGAACGACGCCGGCTCCCAGCCTGGGGTGAAGGGGGGGGGTTGGGGTAGAAGGGGGGAGAGAGGGCGGGGAGAGAGGGGGGGGGAAGGGGAGAGGGGGCAAGGGAAGAGAGGGGAGAGGATGTCTTGGAGTGAGGGCTCGTGAATTCTGGGACGCGTTGACCTTTCCGCGCCTCGTGCAGCCCGCCGTTCAGCCGGGCGAGCAGGGGGGACGGAGAACGAGCGGGAGGGTGGAGGAACGGCAGGTAGCTGCGTGCCGCGGCGTGGGAGAAATCGGGGCCAGACGCCATGCATGCACCGCCGCCACGTGCCCCTCCTCACCTTCCTTGGTCCCGACGGTGTTGAAGTAGCCGGCCGAGAAGCCCCCCGTGAACGCGCCGTGGAAGCGCCGCCTGCCCGCGTCGTCGCGCGCCTCCTGCTGCCACACCGGCACTATCTGCTTCGCGCGCCCCTCCGCCACTGCCGCGCGCAGCTTCCGCACGCCCACGTCCTCCACGCGCTCCAGCGCGCGCCCGAAGTACACGCAGTCCTCGCCGCCGCCGTCCATCGTGGCGTCGCTGACCTGAAGCCGATCCGTGCCCGAACGAAACAGCTCTACCAGTGACCCATGCGGTGCCTCGAACGGAACACGCTAGTTTGCGAGCGGCAGGGGCGCCCTCGAGAGCATGCGGGGCGGGGAGTTGCTGTGGAAGCAGCAGCCGTCGTCGCCTTTGTCAGCACTGAGGGCGAGATTCGGACCATCTAACACTTTCTCGACATGCAGTCATCCGCTAGAAATGTGACCTGGCACCAAGAGTGCAACCAGGGGTGCGAAGACCTGAGTTCGGATCAAGGTTTCAGAAGTCGTAGACAAAATGCCAAAATCACGCAGGCAGTCTGACGCGAGTTGGAGCAGGTGTGAGGGGCATGACCAGGGCCCTAGATAGACAAAATCGGTCTGATGATATGAGAATCAGACTCGATTTCTTTGCATCATCTGATTTTTTAGACCACCCATTTCATTTCGTCTGAACGTTAAAGCGAGCGGACAGACCAAACTCAAGACTCAAAACCTTTGAGTCTTGAGTTTGGGTAGCGAAATTGACGAGCGGCCCATCTACCCCCACGAAAGGCGCCTGCCCCACGCGAAACGGTCTGGCCCCTCGCGATGGGAAAACAGACCTCGTCAAAACCTGGGAGGTCGCAGGGCAGATTCTGGACGACAGCACCACTCTGCCCCAACCATACCGTGTTCGCATAACTGCTGCGTTTGTACTACGAATTGACACATACAACAAAAATGCGCAAACGAAAACAACGATAGCCCTGCTTCCCCTTGCTCAAAACCAGGACATAAAAACCTGGTTTGCATTCGGGAACAGGCCTTGAATCTCACTGCCAACCCCACCCGCTGGAGCAGAGCAGCGTACGATTTGGCGAGCCCAGTGCTTGGAACGCAAAGCAACGCTACATTTTAGGTATAGAGCGCGGGCGCGAATCCCTCCCTATGACTTCCCCAAGCTAGGACACTTGAAAAAAAAAGGGGGGCTGAAAAGAGGGGCCCGTCGTGACTGAAGACTGAAGTACAACGGCGATCGACCCGCAGGTGCGGTGGGAGATTTGCGAGGAACGCGGGACTGGCTGAATGGTGGCAAGGAAGAGAGATAGGGTTGGGCGGCAAAGCGGAACCGTGCAGTAGAGGGGATTCGGCACCACAAAATAGGGAAGAGAGAGAGTGAGGCGAGAGAAATAATGAGAAATAGTAGGTAAGCACCGGGGGAGAAGGGCATATTGCGGTAGAGCAAGAACAGCGCTTATTTTCGGCCCAAACGCCAGGGACACGGCGAGGGAGAAGGGCATATTGCGGTAGAGCGAGAACAGCTATCTCCCCTCTCAACTATCTCCCCAATCAGCTATCTCCCCTCTTTCTCCCCTCTCAGCTATCTCCCCTCTCAGCTATCTCACCTCTCAGCTATCTCATCTCTCAGCTATCTCCCCTCTCAGCTATCTCACCTCTCAGCTATCTCACCTCTCAGCTATCTCCCCTCTCAGCTATCTCACCTCTCAGCTATCTCACCTCTCAGCTATCTCCCCAATCAGCTAGCTCCCCTCTTTCTCCCCTCTCAGCTATCTTCCCTCTCAGCTATCTCCCCTCTCAGCTATCTCACCTCTCAGCTATCTCCCCTCTCAGCTATCTCACCTCTCAGCTATCTCACCTCTCAGCTATCTCCCCAATCAGCTAGCTCCCCTCTTTCTCCCCTCTCAGCTATCTCCCCTCTCAGCTATCTCACCTCTCAGCTATCTCCCCTCTCAGCTATCTCACATCTCAGCTATCTCCCCAATCAGCTATCTCCCCTCTTTCTCCCCTCTCAGCTATCTCACCTCTCAGCTATCTCATCTCTCAGCTATCTCACCTCTCAGCTATCTCCCCTCTCAGCTATCTCCCCTCTCAGCTATCTCCCCTCTCAGCTATCTGAAAGGGTTGGGAGAGCAGGGGATGGAAACGAACTGGGAAAGGGGGGGGGGGGGAGCGGTGAGTAGGTTCAAACGAGTGTACCTGTGAGAGATACGGCAGCAAAATGGGGACGCGGATAGACCAATGATGCGGGGTGACAGAGTACGACTACATCAGAGAGAGGGGGTACATGCAGCAGGCCCTAAGGCCCGTCTTTTACACACAAAGGCGCCACTACACACCAAACACCCCCCTCTGTCCTCCACAAACAGAACCAGTAACTGCCACTGTATGTCATGCCCGTCATGCCCCAATCCTACCCCTTTTAACCCTTTTACCCACCCTTTCCGCCCTCCCCCCCAAGCCAGGCCCCCGCCTCCCCTCCCTCGACAACCATTCAACCCGCGCTCCAGTACCCTCCCCCCCCCGTCCCCCACTTCGACCTCCTTGCCACTCACCACGAGATGCCTCCCTTCTCTCCCCTGCCCTCACACCACTGTACCCCAACCCCCACAGCCCCGAGCCCACCGCCCCCATCCAAAGTGCACCACCCTCGCGTTCAGAATCCACCTCCCTCCATCCAGAGTCCACCTCCCCCCATCCAGAGTCCAGCTCCCCCCATTCAGAGTCCACGCTCCCCCCTTCCAGAGTCCACCTCCCCCCATCCAGAGTCCAGCTCCCCCCATTCAAAGTCCACGCTCCCCCCTTCCAGAGTCCACCTCCCCCCATCCAGATTCCAGCTCCCCCCATTCAGAGTCCACCCTCACCCCATCCAAAGTCCACTTCCTCACCATCCACAATCCACCACCATCCCATCCAGAGTGCACCACCGCCCCATCCATAGTCAAGCCTCCCTGCTCATTTGGCGACACACTCCACCCCTACCTCTCCTTCCCCCCCCCCCCATCGTTTGCTGACAGCCAGAAGTGCACGTGCAAAATGGTTAGGCCTGTGGGAGGAGGGACACACCCAGCGCAGCAGGCGGTGTCAGAGGCCCGGCGAGGCACAGTGTCCATGACGTGCCACATGGGTCCTCTCGTCGCGGTGTGGCGTGTGGGTTTGACGGGGAAGTGTAGGCTACAGGACAGGGTCGCCACAGTGGACGATCTGATTTTTTTCCTTGCCCAACATGCCAAGGCCGCAGTGGAGAGCCTTGAGAAGGCTGCGCTAGCTGCAGGTGAGCTTGATAATGATGGGCGGCAGATGTGGGTGGTGTTTCATTGGGATCTTACCAACAGAGATTGTGGGCCCAATCTTGCACACATCCCACGTGTCATATATCTACCAATCTCACAGTCCCCCAAAACGATGCCAAGGCCACAGCAAAGCTGTTGGAGGGACACAAGAAAGCATACGGGATCATATTCGCGAGCCGTGTGCGAGATGGACCCGCCTCTGCCGCACAACTCCTAGCGCGAACCACTGGGGCTCTCCGTGGGGTCAGATTTGGGTTTCCGCTCTACAAGTGGACAGAGGCCGGAAAGTATAGACTGGCTGAGGGCAATGGATGGGGTGGCGCACGCCAAGGGCAAGCCTACGAAGCACAAAAGGGTAAGGCGTTTTGGATCTTTGGTAGGGGATGCAGTATTGGGATTTGGGAGTCGATGTGCGATGGGCGCATGAGACTGCCTCACAGAAGTGGAAAAATAAGTCGTCCACTGTGCTTATGCTACCCTTGCCCACAGATGGGAGTGCTGCAGAGGGAGCGGAGGGCTCCCCATCTTGTGATGAGCGGCATGGAGCGGGCGACGAAGTAGGCCTTACGGTGACGACAAGCGCACCCCATGCGCAACCGACAGAGGGTAACGCATCGGCAGCTCGCGAGGCGCCGGCGAGGTAAGGAGGCAGGCTAGAGTTAGACATTCGAAGCGCATGTTCATTACCCATTCTCATAGCAACATGTGCACATACAACGATGCAACGCACTACAATTATGACATCTGTACTTTTGCAAATGCATCATTTCCCCATGCCCACTTTTGTAATGCGACTTGTCGACCCTGCACCAATGTCGTACCTTCAAACTTGCTTTCCCCCTGCCTAAACCACCCCCCCCCCCCCCGCTGCCCACGTCATTGCTGTGCCCAACCTGTTGCCATATCGATGCACATGTCTAGGCATATGCTTATGCTGCAGCCGTGCCGGCACTCTGGTCTGATTATGCGCATCCGCCCTGTTCCATCTTTAGGGCACCCGCCACAAGCAACGTCGAGGGGCTTGAGGTCCATCCCCTTCCAGAGCAGAGCGCGCCATGCGCCATTGGGGCTGACCCCCATGCTTGCAGGTGCGAATAGCACCCCATGCTTCCTTATGCCTCGACTCCCCAAACCCACTCTTCCCCCATTGCATTGTGTGCGCGACTTGTCACATGCTCCGTGCACCAATGCCGCACCTTCAAAACCTGCTTTCTCTTCGCCTAGAGCCAGCCTAAGCTTCCCCCCGCTGCCCAAGTCATTGCTGTGCCCAACCTGTTGCCATGTCGATGCACATGTCTAGGCTTATGCCTATGCTGCAGCTGTGCCAGCACTCTGGTCTGATTATGCGCATCCGCCCTGTTCCATCTTTAGGGCACCCGCCATAAGCAACGTCGAGGGGCTTGAGGTCCATCCCCATCCAGAGCAGAGAGCGCCATGCGCCATTGGGGCTGACCCCCATGCTTGCAGGTGCGAATAGCACCCCATGCTTCCTTATACCTCGACTCCCCAAACCCACTCTTCCTCCATTGCATTGTGTGCGCGACTTGTCACATGCTCCGTGCACCAATGCCGCACCTTCAAAACCTGCTTTCTCTTCGCCTAGAGCCAGCCTAAGCCTCCCCCCGCTGCCCAAGTCATTGCTGTGCCCAACCTGTTGCCATGTCGATGCACATGTCTAGGCCTATGCCTATGCTGCAGTTGTGCCAGCACTCTGGTCTGATTATGCGCATCCGCCCTGTTCCATCTTTAGGGCACCCGCCATAAGCAACGTCGAGGGGCTTGAGGTCCAACCCCATCCAGAGCAGAGCGCGCCATGCGCCATTGGGGCTGACCCCCATGCTTGCAGGTGCGAATAGCACCCCATGCTTCCTAATGCCTCGACTCCCGAAACCCACTCTTCCTCCATTGCATTGTGTGCACGACGTGTCACATGCTCCGTGTACCAATGCCGCACCTGCAAAACCTGCTTTCTCTTCGTCTAGAGCTAGCCTAAGCCTCCCCCCGCTGCCCAAGTCATTGCTGTGCCCAACCATCATACCAACCTTCCCTTGTTCCCCCTATTCTCAGGCCGCCCTTTTGTGGCCCCAGACTGGCCACCAGACGGACAGTCCCGCCACTGTGGGATCCCGCACCGAGACTGGATGATCTGGATGGGTCAGCGGTGGGCTTGGTGGAGGTCCGGCACATGGAAGGATTTTTCAAGGGAGTTAGGATGGTTTGCATGCATAACGCGGTGTGCGGTGGGG